AACTCCTCCTGCGGTAGGACAGGGAATCAATTGGGAACTGAGGAATTAATCCTCTGCCTGTGAGAGAGCCTCAGGGTGGGGAAGAAGAGGAAGGTTGCCTGGGGAATGCCCACAAGATAGGAAAGATAAATGGGGTTAGTAGGCAGGAGTGGGTCCTCATAGCGATTACAACACCCACATTCATGGTAAGTGGATAATATGCTAAACAACCTCTGCAAGTTGGCTAAGCAATGTTGGGAACAAACAACTGAATAAAAGCACATTTCAGACTGTAACCTATCCTTTTATTTTCACAGATTAGGAAACCAACAGAATACTAAAGTAAAGTTGTAAGTGAAATAAGGTGGTGTTTAAAAGTTAAGTCTCAGCAAACCCAATAACTTCTTGCAGAATGAGGAGAATTTTGTCTTTGGTAGTTTCAGATAATAAAATCCCTAGCAAATCATGTAAGAAGAAAATTAAATTCCGTGTTTCTTTTTCTACATATTACATTCCATCTCTCTTCTTGTTTCATTTTGGTTTATTATATTTTAGTCATTATATACACACTCTCTGAGCTTCCACAGCCCTAGCTAGTTATCTTCCAGGAGAGCTCTAAGGAAATACACTTCCAGCTTATGCCGCCCGCCTCCCCCGACACACACTTTCTGCAAAAATGTAAACTCAGGGTGAATACTTCAATTTACAGAACGTAAAAGGCACTCAGCAAACATGTTACTTACACGTGGTCTTTTCCATTCGAACTTGATGGGGATTTTCTGGCTATAGAAGAGGGAGGACTCATTCGGTGGGAAATCAGGATCTTCATAGAGAATGTTCTTCTCCAGGCACTTCTTGTGAAGCTCTTCATAGGTCTTCTCCTTTACTCTGATAATGGGCTGGTTGCGACTTATAATGGCAGAATAAATCCCCCCTGTGCCCCCACCCGCACCTTCAGTTGTAGTGCTAACAGTAGCGCTGGGAACTGACCCAGCAGCTGTCTGCTGAGCCACCGCTGCATTTATGGCGGACGGCATGAGAATCAGGCTTAAAGCAAATGTTGAAAGAAAGCAAGATCTTGCAAACTGGAAGGAAATTCAAGAAAAGAGGAAGCTGCTGTGTAAACTGCTTTTTCTATCCGTTGAAAGTCTCCTAGTCAAATTTGCAAGCAACAAAATTCCTCGTGGTTGAGCATGCTGTGCATCCTCTCAAAGGGCAGTATTTTGTCGCAAGAAAGTGGAATTTATTCCTTGATATGGAACAAGATAATCTGGTGGCTAACTCCTGTGCCCGACTTGTAGTATCCACAGCATGTGTGTGTGCCTGCCCTGTGTGTATAAACGTCCCGAAGGGACAAGCTTTAACCCGTGAAATCTAAAAATAACTACAGGCAGAGTGAGAGAGAGGGAAAGTGAGAGGGAGGGGGTTAGTGAGATGGTGTCAGACTTCTGCACAGCTGAGGCCAGGCATGTTCCTGGGACAGGCTCCATGTGCAGGCTGACTCCTGGTGCAAGCAGCTCGTCTTTTCCTTAAAAACAGTGAAACTGGAAGCTAAACTCCTGTAGATTGGGAACATACTTAGGAAGTACTGCCAGCCAATAAACTAGTCCTGATGCTTCTGAAAGAACTGTTGTACTCGACTTCTTATTTCTACCCTTTGCTGCCGAAAAGATATATAGAGATTTTTACTAGTAGAGAGGATTAGCTGAAGACATGCTCCTAATGGTGAAAAAGGTGTAATTATTTGATGCTACTGAGGTCAGGTTGATACCTGCCAGCTGGGTTTGTCTCCTCTAGAGAGCAGCTCACCAGCACTAAGATTCACCTGGTATAGCTGCATCCCATGTAAAAGTCACCTTTTCATATAGGGGCAGAAAAGTTTATAAGGGGCCCAGTGTGGAAACTGGGCCATTCTGCGTGTATTAGGATATACCAATCTTAGAGGACACGTCTGACTTTGCACATTTATTTAGTCACACAACAGTGGGGTAAGGGACAAATTCACAGTCTCTGTGGAAGAAAATCTAGACATGTTACTCTGTAACCCAGTTCTTTAAAAGGTGACATTGTTTATGTGTCAAGAAAAGCCCCCTAACACCTTGATTTTTCTTTGATTGGGAAGTCTGAAATCACACGATTGCATCAGTGTTATTTTTGCTTAATGACACTAGTCTCTGGACTCTGGCTCATGTACACATTGCTGACCTTCTGCCCTAGTACTATGGTGTTTTCCAAAGCACTGATTCTTTTTCCTTTCTCAGCCATTTCCTTGGTTTACACATTTCAAATCAACAGTACAATGGACAATCTCTACAGCTCATTAAAAAAACTCCACTAGGGAAGAAGGTGGTAATATAGTTGTCGAGCTTGACTAACCTCTAGGAGTATTAATCCTCAGTCTTCTAATGGTGGCCTAAATCCTTTTCTTGTTATCACGAATGCAAGTCTTCTTGCACCAACAGGGCAATCGGAAAGGACAGATTCAAGCGTTCATGGAAATAGGAATGCAATTGCTTCAGGGTGGGTTGTCCAGATGCAGAATTGATGACGACTTCCTCGTTACATTTAGATGCAAGGATTGCAGGTCTCATATTTGACATTACTTTGCAGGACAGCTTGGCAGAGCCATGTGTCACTCTTTCCAGGATA